CCTGCAGTGTCCTCGAGCCACAGCTCCGCTTTTGTTTTGTTTTTATTTTAATAAACCTTTTGAACTTTCCTACTGACTGCCTCTCCTGAACACTGGGTCCATCTGTCCTCGGTTCATGACAATATTACCTACTGTAAAATAAGTTGGGGAAAAAAAAGTTTACAAGTCAAGAAGAAAAAGGTAAAAAGCTAATTGAAAAGTTAAAAAATAAAGTTACAAAGTTAATAAGCGTACTTAACAATTACATGTAGGTTTATAAGCTAAAAAATGCAAGTGCCAGTATCAGCATTAATGCCTCTTAGGTTAAGTTGTACCCAAAAAAAAATTTTCTTTCACTCTCAGAGTGTTTTTGATGAATTTCTTATAGAAGCACTATTGTTATTTTTCTTAATATATTCGGGCAAGTCGCGTTTCATGTTATTACATTGACATTAATTTTTGCCATCAAAATATCCATATTTTTCAATGTTACAAAGGTAATAAGGTGTTGTCCTGGATTCCAATAACACTATTGGCTTGAAATTTTGATTTTCAAAGAATTTCATTGAGTGCCATATAAAGAGTTACGGTAAATCAAGTAACTCAACCTGTCCTTCACTGCCATGGTTCTCAGGGTTGAACACCCCAGATTTCATCTGCTGTTTTATTTAGTTAAATTTAAAACACCTATGTGGGAAACTTAATTACCTGCTTATCATAGCAGAAATAAAAATAAAACCCTTTCCTGCAAAGAGAACAAGCAGTAAAGGTAATTTATGGATACTGACAGATTTCACCTGAAAAGTTGTATCTAGACCAAGCTCCATGGCTGCAGATGATGCTGACATCAATAAATCCCAACCCAGTGTGGCACAGTAAAAAAAATCTTAGTTTATTTTGATCTTGTCAATCTTAGCATCTCCATCATCCAATTCATTTCACCACAATTCCCCTACAGACCGTATTTCAATGCCAGTGCAACGCAGAGCTGCAAAGAGGAAAGCAGTAAAATGAAGGGAGTTTTCTTATTACACGTGCTTTAATCTCGTGTTACATAATTTCACTTGATGTATTGCCAGTTACTCTGCCGTGGCTGAGTATAATTTAGTGTGCAGCGTGCCCATGCACTGCACATTTATCCTTGTATACTGTATATGACATAAATGATACAATTCAACTGCATGTTGCACAATGATTCAGTGATTGGGTATGCATCTGGCTACCTCTGAGTGGCTCCAGCCCACATCAGATAAAACACTTAAACAATTACTGTCTTATCTGCTGAGCTAGAAGAAGAGCTTGTGGTCTCATTATGGCCAGTTTAGACAGAAATTCAGAACCTCACTCACTTCTTAGTCCAATTCATCAGTCCTACCGGCCCTCGGGTGGAACCTAGCCATTAGTATTCACAGAGGAGGCTGTTATGTAAGTCAGGCATCATTTGGATAATTCTGCATTTTGTGGCTGTTAGCCACTGGAATGTGTTCTTTTGTTCCTTACATAATCTCATAAAAAAAGTCGGACAGAATGGGTTGTAAATATATTGGTTAAAAGAAAATAAAAAAAAAATGTAATTTTTAACTGAAACTGAAGGAAAAAGACTGAAACCGAACCTGATTTCCTCTTAAAGATAGAAAGCATAGAGAAAGGAAACAAGTAGAAAAATCATTCTTGAAATAGATTACAGCAATAAAACAAACACTCCTAAACTCCTGACAAGAGGTTCATCCTTGTTGAATACCACGTTTTTCAAATGGAGTGCAACCATTTTTTTTTTCAGATATTGCAATATCTTTTCTTAAGCCCAGATATTCTTTCTACTTAATCAATCCTTATAGCGAAAGTTTTTCCTTTGTTTTCTTTACAAAAAGAGAAGTCATCAAGTGGAGGTTGTAAAACTTCTTGATAGAACTGGCTAAATATATGTAGAAGAAATAAGATGAACAATTTTCCTGGGGAAAAGGTGGACACCATGTTCACTTGGATTGTTAAATAAAGAGTCAAAGCTAAGTTTCCATTTTTTTTTATGATGAATAATCCCAATGAGTTTTCCCCTCAGTTGAGTTTTAACAATATAATAAGTTATGTGGCTAATGAACATGAAATTTTTGACTCCGTTTTTATGAAAAGTCTGACGTTATAATGAATATTCATTGAAAAATAAATGTGCTGTTAAAATAAAAATTTCCTTTTTTCTTTTTTTTTCTTTCTGTCTTGCTTTCTTTTTTCCTTTTCTCTGTCTTTCATTTTTTTAATGCTGCTCTCTTTCATATGAGACAATGCAACAGAAATGATGGCCCTTGTACTGTAAAACAAATTGTCTTTCTTTCTGTCTCTGTCGCTCACACAATATTTTCGCTTTGTCATTTTCTTTATTTTTCACGGCCTGTTTTTCCACTCCTTTCATGCATCTCTCCTCCTCCCATCCTCTGCAGGGCATTGAGCGCCAGCTATCAGTTTTACAGGCAGCTCCACTGAAGCATGCACTTACATTTCTGATGGTGTTTTTTCTCCTGCTCAGTACCAGACTTAACAGTACAGTCATGACTGTTTTTTGTTTGTGCACATAGTGTACACCAGAGGTTATCATTAAAAGTCAATTTCCTTCATCAGAGGAATATTTTTGTTCTTGAAAGACTTATGTCATCAGACACATGTATAGAACCTGAATATTTATATGTAAACATTGCCAGATGATAAAAATGGTTTGTCTTATTTGATGTTTTTTTAATTGGTCAGAATGTTCAATGAAAACTCTTTCAAAAGATTCAAATTTCTGACAATCATTTAATGGTTTAAGGTTTTTAAAGGTTAAAGGAAATGCATTCAACATTAGAGATGCACTGATCCAATACCTGGATCAGATACCGGGACCAATATTGACTAATTAGATTGGATATCTGCGATTTGATACAGGATATCCAATATCCAATCTAGTGGACATTACATGGAACTGTTATTTCTTTCTGTTTGCTGCTTATTTGATAGTAAATGATAAGAAGTACATTTATTGTTTCCTTTTTAAATTATTCTTTTTCAACAATGTTTATTTATTCAACAGTTGAATTGGATCAGTATGGGATATCGGCATATACACTCTGCCCAGGTGTCGGTATACAGTAGGATTAAATAGGAAACACTTCATTGGTGCATCCTACTCAACATGCTATAAAGTGCCAGCCAGAGTTGTAACCTGAACTTACAGGTATTTATGTCAGGAGCTGCATTTCCATTAATCAGCAAATTGCGCAGAGTGAAATTCTGAAACACTGCAAAAGAAACCTTAAATGTTTTACTAAAAAGATTTTACACTTCAAGGAGGTCGTTTTTAGTCCTAATGAAATTATATTTATTTTATATTTGGCCAAACTGCAAAGGAAACGCTTTCTTCGTAGAACACGAGTTGCATGATATGCATGAGATGTCATTTTTTGGCCCCGATATCGATACCCGATACCTGGCTGTGCAGTATCGGCCGATACCGATACCATTATAATGTAAAATAATTGCCATCATGGCTTTGTCAAGCTGCTGCTTACCTTTGTGAAGCAGGAAAAAATCTAATACGAAGTGAGTCCATTAGTACTTTTTGATAAAAAGTTCTACTGGATAATACAAATAAAAAGTTTTTATTGCCTACCTGGAGTGGCCGACAATAGTTGAATAAACTTATGGCTCTCAAAATGGTATCTGTGCCCTATTGGTTGGTACTTGCCGATACCGATACCACCATTTTAGGGCAGTATCGGCGCCCCGTCCGATACTGGTATCGGTATCGGTGCAACACTATATGCAACTGGACATTACTGCCTTGTAAAAAGATGAAGAAGAAGAATACCGGAAGTAGATGGAGGATGCCGCTACCAGAGCTGTGTGTTTACAATAACTTCTTCTATTAACGTGCAATTTTAAATGTGTTATTAAATGGAAATACTGCAATTACGAAACTTTGCAGTTTCGAAGGGGGAGTGGTGGCCTAGTGGTTAGGGCATAGATTTTGGGAATGCAGAGGTTCTGAATTCAAGCCTCACTCCAACAGCCTACACTCTGGGTCCCTGAGGAGGACCCAGGGGATGGGTTAAATGCAGAAAGCACATTTCGTTTCTCTTTACTTGTGACAGTGTAATAACAATAACAGCTGGGTAAAAAAAGACTAGTTTTGCATAGATTTGCAATGGAAATTCAACTATTAATGTATGCCAGAATTAAGGTTCAGTCTTTCTTCTTTTTATCCCTGTATTTAAAATACACTGCTGCTACTTTGTGTTAGCGTTTGTTGTCTTCGTGACCTTGTTGGTTTTAGGATTCAACTCTCAGCACTGTTGCTCATATATGATGGTCTCTTTTTACATGTTGTCATTTATTGACTTTTTTTAGATTAGCACAAATCTGTCTGTCTTAGCTGGGTTTAGGGTTAGGGTTAGCCATATTATCAAGGAACATATTTTTCATAAACAGCTGAGATTACAGAGCAAATTGTGCATTAAACTGTATATTCATTTCCAAAGCCATAACATAATATTCATCCTTTGTATTTTGAATGTTTTCTTCAGTGAAAAGCTGGGAGTTCCTGGACTCTCTGCCCTGTTGAAACTTTGTGCCCCTGTCCTTGTTTCAGTTTCAATTTCCAGGCATTTCTATTTTTCTCTTAACTTCAAAATTTTTTTCTTGGATTTCCTTTTTTGCACATTTGTAACTTTCGTATGTACCTGTACCTAACCATTGCATATTAGTTTTTTTATATAACAACATTTTTTGTCTAAAACTATTGTTTCTCACTCTGGCATTTTTAACATGGCATTAAATCTTTTAAATCTATAAAGGTTTTAGGGAGGTAATATGTTACTGCAGAAAGAAATTAACTTATTTTATTTACAAGTCTTTGCATATTTAACAGGAGCTCATAGCATACATGACTTTTCAATAAAAAAATTTAAAAAGGGGACTTTTAAAAGAGTCGTCTTTCACCATTATAACAAGATTCTGTTAAAGATCTGATGTGTTTATTTCTCCTCCCATAGACTATGCTGACCGCCATCTCTATGAGTGCCATCGCAACCAATGGAGTAGTGCCAGGTGGGTGAGCAGACGCCGGCGCCACACTGTCATCGCTGTTTGATGCTGCCCGCTTCTAAATTTTCCCTTTTCACGGATTGCTTTTGGCACATTCCTCCGTGCACAGCTTGATATATTCAGAAACATTAGGAGCTTTAGTCTGTGATCTTGTGCTCTTTAACTTTCCTGTCGCACGTTATTTATACAAAATAAAGTATCAGCCAAATTCCTGGCAGTAAAACCCAAATCACCACTTTTCATGTGACGACGCATCGCTGTATGCATGCAGTATGTAGTGTTGAGCTTCACAGTAATAATAGTCCACATCTTACTCCACCAGGGGTCACAGCAAATTAGAGGCTTGGATCTGCACACCCATTATAAGTGTCTGGCTTATAATGGGTGGCAGCCTTTATGTTGCAGGGAAGTGCTGATTAGGGTCTATTCATTTATATACAATGAATTAATTGGCACATTGTTCCTCAGAAATACAAAGGCACTGTGTTAACATGCAACAGCAAGAACAAGCTACATTGACAAAGTAAAGAGACAGTTATACAGCTACTCCACTGTTCTCTGTTATTTGAAGGGGTTCTTATTATTAATATTGTTTATGCAATGGTGAACATTTATTGTTCCCATTAAAACTTACAACTAGGAGTGTCCCGATGTAACTTTTCATTTCCGATACGATACCGATATTGCAGCTTTGCAAATTGGCAGATATCCATATTGATCTGATATTAAATTAGTGTGAATCATACCAGGTTTCTTAGGTTATTTTATTGAATGTTAGAAAAGGCTTGATAAACTAATATTACTAAAAGAGGGAACAAAATTCAACAACAAAAGGTATGAAAACAACTGACCCATGTAAAATTAACAGATGAGTCACAGAAAAGTGTTTCTGATAAAAAACAATATAAATTTTTTTGCTAATATTGGACCGATATCCGATATTAATATTGGATTTGGATATCCCTACTTACGATAATTTAAAAGTTGTTTTTAGGTTAATTTTTTGTAAGCTGATGGTCATTTTTCATGAACATTAACTACCTTTTATTAAAAAAAATAGAATACAATAGAATTGAGGGATCACTTCATCATGTTTTTTTTACAAATATATGAAACCTAAAGAGCAACTTAACATATATTTTAATTGATTGCTGCAAAACTTATAAACAGTCCTAATATATATACATTTCACTTTTTATCTTATGTCTGTTCTTAGCTGGAGGCTCCTACTACATGATTTCCCGGTCCCTGGGCCCTGAGTTCGGTGGAGCAGTTGGGATCTGTTTCTACCTAGGAACCACCTATGCTGGAGCTATGTACATCCTGGGGGCCATCGAGCTGCTTTTGGTAGGCAACATTTTACTGCTAAACCTGCTCATTTTACCGAGATTACCACTTTCCTTCTCTCTAACCATTGTTGCTGTTATTGTCAGAGAAAATTTCTTATGTTGTTTTTAACAAATTAAGTTTTATACAAAGTTCACACAGCCCAGATTCAGAGACCAATAAAAACAGTGTTTCAGTAGCTCAAAGTTTATTTTACTCAACTCTTCAAAAAGATGATGCAATAATCCACTTTTACATGCAGATTTCCAAATGTAGATGTATTCCTATCAAGTCATTGTACTTTCACTATGTTATAACTCCATAAAATTCAATTTAAAACTGTGGTGCCATTTTAAGCTCAACTACTAAACTCTTTAATTCAGTTCACTTTATTTATTTAGTGCCAATTCACAACATATATCTTCTTGATGCAATTTATATAAAAGTTACTTTGATCCAGTCATACATACAAATTCAAGAACAATTACATACAATCTCATTTGATTCCAGTTGTCAAAGAATACAGTTAAGTTCGTTAATCAAATTGGAAACATTAAAAATGTTTTCTGAGAAAGCCCAGGAGAGTCATGTTCTTACAGAAAATCTTCCTCCTGGGTAAGCATATACTAACTAGTTGCTTCCATAGAGTCGTTAACACTGCAGCAATCCCTCATAGTGAGGATGCATGTAGTAACAGCAGAAGGAATTCATTTTATATGTTTCCAAGCCTATAGGATGACAATGAGTAATTAGTTACAGCAAAAATGAAGCCAACTGCTAGGAGAAAGACAGGGCGGTTGATGTCAGGAGCAGATCAATCCATGCCCTCGTCTCAGGAATGTGTGATAGCGAAACAAAGCAACATAAATATGAAAGTGCTGAATATAAAATTATAACCTCAAGAAATAAGAGCAGAATTGTTTGGAGAGAAATAGAAGAATGTAGCACTCCTTCGTATCAGCTTCTCTATAAAAAGTTAAGAATTATGATTAAAAAAAAGAAACTATCAAATATGGAGAAATTAATCATCATAAATTAAAATCATGTAAACATATTTTGTTATTGTTTGGTATAGTTTTGTTTGCACTTGTTTGTTATGTTCTGTTATCAAATTGCAAATGTGACAGAAGAATGAAAAGAACTACTGGGAGAAAAAAAAAAAAAAAGATGGGAGAAAAATGTCAATTTGCCCTCCCCCCACATATAAAAAAAAGGGGGGGACTAGAAAACTTGATATTTGTAAAGAGTGCAATTCATATGTTTATAACTAAATAAAAAAGATATTTAAAAAAAAAATCTAAATAGATTTTTTTTCAACATTTTAATTGGAGGTTATTTCTGTTGTTTTATTTTTCTTATCTCCCTTGTAATTATGTTCAGATCAAACCCAAATCATAGTTTGCAACCCCCTGCTGGTTCATTCATGACTACATTAGCTTAGCAAACTATTAGTGGATTTTAGAGAAAAAAATAAAAATAAAAAAAAATAAAAAAAATACTTTAAACCATTGATTTTGAAAGCACATTTCCAAGACCTCCAAGCTCAAACAATTAGCTGTATGTGTCATGATGGGTTCACTAAAAGCGACCCAAGTATGCAGAACACCACTGACGGACACAGGGATGAAAGTTTAACAAGTTTATTTTGCTCAAGCACACAGAATGTACTGGTTCGGGTTCTGGGCCTGGATACTGGTTCACCGGAGTCTGCGTGAGAGACAGTTCAGTTAGCGTTGCCAACAGAGGTTTGATTTCCTGAAGCTTACTGATTGTACCTTGAGGGTTCTTGAGGTTTAGCTTTGGGAGAGTCTCTGTTGGATCTGGAGAGGGGTTCATCAGCAGAGTCCGCTAGCTGCTTCAGCGTCTCACTTCTAGTAATGCACAGACCTTGGCTTTAGGTTTTCCAGCTCTTAGCCATGAGCTGCTTGGAGGTTCTCTAGGATTCTTCAGGTTTGGCTCAGAGGGTCGGCTCGGCAGGTTAGCTCTTCCTGAGCTTCTCAGAGGAGACACTGGTTTCCTGGAAGACAGAGACAATGGTTAGAAACAGAGGGCTCGAGGAGACAGGCTTGATCTGGGACACGTGGAAGGTAGGGTGGATTCGGAGGGACTGAGGTAGTTGGAGACGGACGGCTGAGGGATTGATGACTCGGGTGATCTTGTAGGGGCCAATAAACCTAGGAGAGAGCTTTCGAGACATCCCCTTGAGGGGAATGTCTCGAGTAGACAGCCATACCTCCTGGCCCTCAGTGTACTCGGGGGCGGGACGTCTCCTGGCGTCGGCGAAGCGTTTAATGGACACAGATGATTGGTTGAGGGTGGCGATGGTTTCCCTCCAGATTCTCTGGCAACGGCGGATGTGTTGATTAACGGACTGGACCGAAATCTCTCTCTCGTCTGCGGGGAAAAGTGGAGGTTGATAGCCGAGACTAACCTGAAAAGGTGATTGACCAGTGGATGCAGATCTGAGGGAGTTGTGCGCGTATTCGATCCAGGGGAGAAATTGGCTCCAGTCCACGGGATTGTTAGATGTGAGGCAACGAAGGGTTGATTCCAACTGCTGGTTCATCCTCTCAGTCTGACCATTTGATTGGGGGTGGTATCCAGAGGTCAGAGAGGGTTTGCAGCCGAGAGCTGAACAGAAGGCCTTCCAGACCGGGGAAATGCACTGAGGACCCCGGTCAGAGAGGATCTCTTGGGGAATGCCGTGTAAACGAAAGACGTGTTTGATGAGGTCAGTAATTTCCCAGTTGACCACCCCCACTGTGCAGGAAGCCGGAAGAACAGGTTCAGGCGTCTCGGGATGATCAACAGAATAAAGACGAGAGAGAGAATCGGGTTTGACATTCTTGGATCCGGGTCTGTAGGAGATGATGAGGTTAAACCGAGAGAAGAAAATTGACCACCTGGATTGGCGAGGATTTGCTTGCTTGGTTGACTGGGTGTAAGCCAGGTTCTTGTGGTCGGTCCACACAAGAACCGGATGCTCAGCTCCCTCCAGCCAATGTCTCCATTCCTCCAACGCTAGTTTGATGGCCAAAAGCTCTCGGTCTCCCACATCGTAATTCTGCTCTGCTGAAGAAAGTCTACGGGAGAAGAATGCACAAGGGTGGATCTTTTGATCCGAGTCTAGTCTCTGGGATAGGACTGCTCCAACTCCAGAATCTGAAGCATCCACCTCGAGAATAAACTGCTTCGCTGGGTCAGGTTGCATTAGCACTGGTGCTCTGGAAAACAAAGACTTTAATTTATCAAACGCAGCCTGAGCCTCAGGCGTCCACTGAAAGGTGCGCTTGACAGAGGTCACAGAAGTTAATGGAAGGGCGGTCTGGCTGTAGTTCCTGATGAAACGACGATAAAAGTTTGCAAAACCTAGAAATCTTTGTAGCTGTTTGCGGTTCTCTGGAACTGGCCAGTCTAAAACTGCCTTTATCTTGTCCTCAGATGGTTTTACCTGGCCGCCCTCGAGCACAAACCCCAAAAAGGAGACTGAAGGCTGGTGAAATTCGCACTTCTCGGCTTTCACGAACAGCTTGTTCTCCAGCAGTCTCTGCAAAACAAGGCGGACTTGTTTCTTGTGTTCATCGAGGGTCTTGGAGTAAATGAGTATGTCGTCAATGTACACGAAAACAAATACATTGAGAAAGTCTCTGAGAACAACATTTACGAGGGCCTGGAAGCAGGCTGGAGCGTTAGTTAGACCAAAAGGCATTACCAAATATTCAAATTGGCCCAATGGTGTCTTGAAGGCTGTTTTCCATTCATCTCCTTCTCGGATCCTAAGGAGATGATAAGCGTTCCTTAAATCCAGTTTCGAAAACACTGTGGCTCCCTGTACGGGTTCGAATGCAGAGGTGAGGAGAGGGAGTGGGTATTTGTTCTTAATTGTGATCTGGTTCAAACCTCGGTAATCAATACATGGTCTCAGGGAACCATCCTTCTTCCCCACGAAGAAAAACCCGGCGCCCAAAGGAGAGGAAGATGGGCGGATTATTCCTGCAGCTAATGATTCGTTAATGTATTTTTCCATGGTTTCTCTTTCAGGCTTGGAAATATTGTACAACCTGCTGCTAGGTAGTGGAGCACCAGGTAAAAGTTCAATGGCGCAATCATATGGTCTGTGTGGAGGTAGGGACGTCGCACTGACCTTACTGAAGACAGGGGCTAGGTCATGGTACTCAGAAGGAACTGAAGAAAGGTCAGGAGAGTCCATCTCCCCCCCACCTCTAGGAGACCCCACCAAGGGGGCAGCTGAACGAAGGCATGTTTCATGGCATGAGATGGACCACGATTCCAGGTGACGTTCAGTCCAATTTATGTGAGGATTATGCTTCTCCAACCATTCGAAACCAAGCACCAGCGGGGAACATGCAGAGGGAAAAACAAAAAATGTTATTGTCTCTCGGTGGTTACCTGACAGAAGTAGCTCGAGGGGCTGAGTTTGATGGGTAACTTGATGGAGTCTCTTTCCGTCAATAGCGGATACACAGAGAGGCTGAGTCAGAGGAATGGTTTCTATTTGGAGTTGTTGGACGAGGTTAGAATCGATTAAGTTCCGTTCACAGCCTGAGTCGATGAATGCAGAAAAAGAGAGGCTTTGGTTAGCACAGAACAACGTGGCAGGAAGTAACAGTCGAGGAGATTTCTTAGTGTTAATTTGGCCCGCCAGACTCCTCAGATCCTCTGGCGGGCCCAGGCTTTTGATTTAGCCGGGCAAGAAGCGATGAAGTGTCCACTCTCACCACAGTAAATGCATAATTTGCTTAGAAAACGCCTTTGCCTTTCCTCTGGGGTGAGCCTAGTGTGTCCCACCTGCATGGGTTCGACATCTCTTTCGCCCGAATGAGAGGCCTGAATGGGCAATGGAAGAGACTGGGACTTAGGTCTCTGAATGGACGGCTGCTCTGTAGAAGAAGAACAAACAGTCACGTTATGTGAGGCAGAAGAAAGTGTCCCCTGCTTCCTTGAACTGTTTCTGGCACGAATTCTATTATCCAATCTAATGGAGAGACGAATTAGATCTTCGAGGGTAGCTGGTTCGTCGAGGGTTGCAAGCTCATCCTTAATGTGCTCATTTAATGCCATGAAAAAGGCTCCCTTCAGAGCGCTTTGGTTCCATCCGGAAGCTGCAGCTTTAACCCGGAAGTTGATGGAGAATTCAGCCACCGAAGAGTTTCCCTGTTTTAGATTGAATAGAGCTCTAGAATCAATAGTTTGGTCAGTTTCTTGGTTGAATACCTGAGTAAATTCAGAGATGAAATCAGAGTAATAGCAGTTTAAGCTATCGTCGGCGGCAAATCTTGCATGAGCCCATTCCAAGGCTCTTCCTGTTAACTGAGAAAGGATGAAGGTTATTTTCTTGTAATCCGTGGAAAAGCTGCCGGGGGAGTTCTGAAAAATCAAACGACATTGAAATAAAAATCCCTTGCAATCTTTCATGTTACCAGAAAATCTTTCTGGAAGACTAGGACGGAACTCTGATGACGTCACTGCTGGTGACCTCGGAGGTGGAACTGGACCCGGAAATGGTTGTGGTACAGCATTAGCGCTGTTCAGATGATTCGCAAAGCTCTGTAGCATGTGGTTATGAGTGTCAACCAGGCGGTATAACTCACGGAGCGTTTGGGTTTGTCCCTGAATTTGGGCATCCTGCTCCTCCAATCGACGGGTGAGGTGATCTGCTGGGCCTTGAGTTTGGCCGCAGTGTTCTGTCATGATGGGTTCACTAAAAGCGACCCAAGTATGCAGAACACCACTGACGGACACAGGGATGAAAGTTTAACAAGTTTATTTTGCTCAAGCACACAGAATGTACTGGTTCGGGTTTGGGGCCTGGATACTGGTTCACCGGAGTCTGCGTGAGAGACAGTTCAGTTAGCGTTGCCAACGGAGGTTTGATTTCCTGAAGCTTACTGATTGTACCTTGAGGGTTCTTGAGGTTTAGCTTTGGGAGAGTCTCTGTTGGATCTGGAGAGGGGTTCATCAGATGAGTCCGCTCGCTGCTTCAGCGTCTCACTTCTAGTAATGCACAGACCTTGGCTTTAGGTTTTCCAGCTCTTAGCCCTGAGCTGCTTGGAGGTTCTCTAGGATTCTTCAGGTTTGGCTCAGAGGGTCGGCTCGGCAGGTTAGCTCTTCCTGAGCTTCTCAGAGGAGACACTGGTTTCCTGGAAGACAGAGACAATGGTTAGAATCCAGGCTGGATTCAAAGTCATAAGTTTCACTGAGGATCTAGGCTTAAGCGCTGACCAACTGGAACAACACTGCGGCGTTGAGGCAAGGTCTGAAGACAGCTTAAGTAGTGGATCCTCTGATGATCTTGATGAACTGCAGCTGTGCAGGAGGCTCCCTCAGAGGATCCACGGCGGACTCTGCTGGAGAAAGGTGGAACTTCTCCAGCTCCCAACAGTATGGCTGGAGCAAAATGTCCTAAAAGCCCTAAAAGGTGGCTATAAAAGATAAATCTGCAAAAATGCATCCTCCTTTTGTAGGTTGTTTGGACTTCTTCTTATTAAACGAGTTCAACCTTGCAGTTATTTTCTCTTTTTATATTTACAGCACTGCTTACCTTGTCTTTATACAAAAAGCAATAGTTATACTGAAAGCATTTATTTTGACAAAAATCTTCTAAAAATACACATGAGGCAGGATTGGAAGTAGTTTAGCAGATTCCTTTTTAAAGTACATATTTACTGCTTTAAGAACTCACTCATTTATTTTAATTAAATCTTGCTATTATGAAAATAATGCTTATGCAGCTGAAATCTGTGTTCTTCTCCCACATCAACAATAAAGATAGAAACATGTTCAGATATTTCTCCTGAAGCGTTCCCATGCCAACCCCGATTGCTTGTTAATCTTATCTGCGCTCGTCTCTATTTTTGTTGCTCAGCAGCAGGAAGATGATCCTCACATTTTTAATCCTGACCAGAAAACCTACGATTAGCCTACATTTTCTGACCAGAGAAACGACAGTCTGTCTGAAAAATAGATCTTAGACTGGCATCAACACAGCCAACAAATAAAACCCCACATAAACCGTTGGCATGATGTGATGAAATAAATGTCATCGTTGAAGTCTGCAGAAAATCCTTCATCCTTCCCTGGTTTTTGAAGCTCAGAGGTTATTTAAATATATTTCGGAAAATATTACCCTGACTTGCCATCCTCCATCTTCCTTTCTTCCTCTGCCTTTTTCCTCTTTCTCCTTTGGTAGCCCATGTTTTGTATAATTATGCAGATGATGCACTAATTGGAGATCTAGATAGTAAATCTGGTTACAGCTATCTTATGATTATATATAGTTTTTCTTTTCTCTATCTCCTTCTGGTCGTCTCTTGCAGAGTTTGATCATGCATGGAGGTTAATACTGTCTTCTGGGTCAAATCTAGCTTAATTTCCATTGTAAAAATGACAATCCCATCAGCATGGTGTAGAAATGCCCCCATTTCATCCATCAATCCCCAACCAAGAACACATACTGAAGCTGCTATTTTAGGAAGTATGAAGAGTTCAAAGTGAAGGGAGGGATTTGTTTGCCCGGTGATAAGCTGTTATTAGCATCACATCAGCTTTTCCAACCAACAGCCTGAGCTGAGTTTTAACCTCTTCTTCTTGGCTTTTTATTTCAGGAGATCTTTAGAGCAATAAACAGTTTTTGGTGAAAATCTAATGGCTGTTTTTGTTTTAAAAAAGGAAGAAACTCCAATGCTTATGTAACAGCAGTGCTGTGAATCATCACGAGCTGATGACAGACACTGATGGTAATTATGGGTTTCTAGTTTGCTGTATCAGATAGGGCTATTCTTGGATTAGTAATAGTAGACATATATTAATGACACAACTTTCAAATATTGATTTCCATGGCTGGGCTTTTAAATTAAACAGTTGAAACAGCAGTCAGAGTGCAGCAGAGGACTGTTAATGCAAGAATCATGAGTTTCACTCTCTTCTCTCCTCACCTCATTCCTTTCTGCTTGTCTTCTTTTATATAATTTTTATTCTTATTTTCCCCCTCTGGATAAAAGATAATATGGTTTTCAGTTTACAGTCGGCAAGACGACCACATTTATAACCTTAAGTCTGCCAGCTGAAATCCCCTGACACACAGGGCAAAGTGAAAGTGGATGAGCAATACTGCATTGTCTAAGCTACTACCTCCAAGATGCCCCCTGGCAAAACATAAAGTTTTTATAAGAAAATCTGTGTTTTCTCTTTGACCCTTACGTTTAGATCTACATATGTCCCAAAGCAGCGATATTTCCCATTGAGGGACTGGAGGGAGCTGAGGCAGAAGCCGCCCTGCTAAATAACATGCGCGTGTACGGGACCATCCTGTTGACCTCCATGGCCACTGTCGTATTTGTTGGCGTCAAGTATGTGAACAAGCTGGCCCTGGTGTTTCTGGCCTGCGTCATCCTCTCCATTCTGGCCGTCTACGCTGGAGTCATCAAGACCGGCATTGAGCCGCCCGTTTTCCCGTAAGTGACGTAACAGACAGAAAAGAAGAAGCAGCACAAACATAAATCAAACCGTTAAAATCTTTATTTTGCTCTTTGACATGAAGAAAATCCAGCACCTAAGAGAACTTGATTAGTGCTGTTTAAATTAGTAGAATGTAGTTTTATGGTTTCTGTTGTTTCGTTTTTGCACTACATCACACACTGTTATGAATACATATTTAACAACACATAATACACCTATATTCTGTTTGTAAGAAGCCTGATTTTCTTGTAATCTTTTAAATTGCTCTGAGTTAGAGCTAAAAGAAATTCCTGCAACAAATAAACAATATGTCATCGCCATGTCTTCATGAAATGATATAATTAGATAATACCTCACAGAAGACCTGAGAGATACATCATCAATCCATTTAATCACCAATGTCCACCAGGATTTTAGCTCTCTGCTGCTTGTTTGTAAATTATAGAAATAAACCATTCAGGACTTTCCTAGTTTCTGTTTCTCATAAAAATGAAGAAAAAATAATATCCTAATTTATGCATCAACGCATTTCTTTCTACTGTTGTGATGGGATTGTTTTTTGTTTTGTTTTTTACCAAAAATTGCATCAAGTTAGAAGCTGTAAATCAATGCATTTATAGACAGTAAGTAATGGGAGTTTTTACCACCGCTGAACTCTACTGATAAGGGCAGATAAAAAATAAATTGGAAGATTTCACCTCTGACAGACTCATTAGTGTGTCTCCACTTAAACCTACTTCCAATTTCTCAAACTGGAATAAATTCAATTTTTTTGAGTACCAAAAAGCAGAGATAGAAGCAGAAGCGGTTTCTTGCAGGCTTAATAAGCAAAAGGTAGCAACTGAAGCAGTAATCCACAAACCAAAACCAAAATCCAGGAGACGTAAGGGAAAACATACATGAGGAGCACAAAGACAACGAGGAAGCAGCAAACAGTAACTGAAGAGGAGGAGTAGTATATATGCCAAACAGAACAAAGACTGCAGTAATCAATTGATTGGGAGCAGGTGTGGACAGAAGGATCTGGAAGGGAGCTAGGGGAAAGGAGACTGACACAATAGGGCAACAGAGGGTAAACAAAAAATAAATAAGAACTCAAATACAACCAGAAAACGACACAAAATGGAAATCAAACTAGAAAACACAGAAAAACATGAATAAAAGTGTAACTGAAAACTCAAAAAGAAAAAAAAAGGTGTAAAATCATGACAGGGAACATGTTTTCTATTTGTTTAAGCTGCTAATGAAGCTGCTGAAACGTTTCTCACATAAAATCAATTCAACTACAGAACGAATGTAATGTTAATAAAAAAAAGTTTTTTTGTGCGTGTACGAAAAAAAAAAATGATTATGTTTTGTTCTTGTCTTTTCTCCAGCGTTTGCTTATTGGGAAATCGCACTTTGGTTTGGAAGAACTTTGATGTTTGTGCCAAAACCCTTGAGACGGCTAATGGAACAGTGACCACGCAGCTGTGGAGCATGTTCTGTGACTCACCTTTCCTTAATGCCACCTGTGACAAATACTTTACTGCCAACAATGTGACGCAGATCCAGGGCATTCCTGGGATTACCAGTGGAGTTTTGAAAGGTTGGTCCTTTCAAAACTCCTTTCAAAACAGAACTCATTTTACAGAATAAGACAACATCTGGGGTTTTTTATATATATATATATATATATATATATATATATATATTAGTGCTGTCAATCGATTCAATTTTTTTAATCGCGATTAATCACATCAATGCCTGAGTTAACTCGCGATTAATCGCATTTTAATCGCAAATTTTTTTTCTGATTGAAAATCATTTAAATACTCTCGATGACATACAAAAAATACATACAGGCTAGGTTTGTGCCAATGTTCTTTTTTTAAAATGAAAACAGGTCACAGACACTGATTTATGCCATAGAAACATATGGCAAGAAGATGGGGAGGCATGTAGCAAAAAATAACAAATATGTAGCCAAAAAAAAGGCCCTGAAAACAGGCTGATGTAAAAGACAGTCTTTACAGTTAATACAGGTTTTTGAAGAAAGACAAGCATTTTACCCTACTGCTATAAAATGTAGTACAGTTAACATTAGATGTTAATTAACCAAGATAATAATGAACAATTTTCAATCAATACATCAAAATCAATAGACCGACATCACTAGATGGAGGTAGTCTATGCTCTAGAAAGTTACTTTTCAGCCTCTTAACAAAAATGAGAACACACACCCACCCACCCACCCACACACACACAGACACACCCACCCACACACACACACACGATACTGAGCTGTGGCGTACAAAGACAGCAAGAGTGCCGTAGCAGATTCCATTTCACCTCAGTAATCTGTTTTCTCAGCGTATTTCAGGTTGCTACTAGTTACCAGACACTCAACTTGTTTGTTGGTGGTGGGGCTTAAAGAAAAGGCACTAGCGCTACCCAATGTATGAGCGTCTTTTTTCCTTGAGGAGCTCCGCTCTCGAAGCCTATGGAAAATGCATAGACTGGGGGAAAATAGCCCCGCCTTCCCACAGGCTGCAGCGGGATGTACTTGGAAAATTGTACCATAAAACCACATAGCGTTAATCTCACGTTAAAAAAATTAGCGCCGTTAAAATGGCCTCGCGTTAACGCGATAATAACGCGATAATTTTGACAGCACTAATATATATATATATATATATATATATATAGCTCTATCATAGGTGTTTTTTCTTATATATCTACTCTGGTAACCATAATAATGAAAATAAATTACCACAGTTTCTTTTTTTTTTCTAATTGTACTAAGAGTTTGTTTCTTTAATTTAAGTGGTTGTATTGCAAAATCCCTATCTTCTGTAATTTCTGTCATTTTCTCATAAGGACACAAAAGTTTGGATAATGACAGGCGGCTTAAATCTTTGAAGATGACGTTGATGTCTAGCCAATCACAGTTCACTTTTTTCTCAGCTTTAAGTTCTACAAACATTGAACAGACTTTTAGACCATTAGCTCTGAAACCTGAAAGCTAAATTAACCTTATTTAACTTTGATGGTTAACAATAAAACCCTGCATTAGGCATAGGGTAAAATCTGTGCCTTTTAATGACCCTACCTTCTTGGAACTCCTCATATTTTACTGAACAAAGTACTTTTATTGTAGCATTTCAATATATGAATCACTGAAGGCATTTATTGTCACAGCTGTTAATATTAATTCCCTCATTAAACATTGCTCTATTAAAGAGGTTGGAGGAGGCCCAAATTTGTGTTAAGTCAAGTCTTTTCTTGTTCTTTTACTCCCAAGAGAGGAGTCTGTGAACATGAGGCTGATTTTTCAATAGCTGGTATTTCATGAGTAAGAAATGAACTTTTTGTATATTTTTAATTGTAACAGATGTTCTCTGAATGGCTGAAGAACGAAGCAGATACATCTGTTGGTTTTTTTCCTAGTGGATTGAATGTAATTAAAGGAATCACTTTTTTAGCTTCGTCTCACCAAGTGACGCCTTTCTCACCTCGTTTATTTATTCTTCACTAAACCACTTTATTACCAATACAGATAACTTGTTTGGGAACTACTATGAGAAGGGGGATCTGGTTGCCAAATATGACCTGGAGTCAGTGGAGGACCATGATGACCCTCTTACCAATTCTAACCGCTACGTTTTGGCTGATATCACCAGCTTCTTTACGCTGCTGGTTGGCATCTACTTCCCATCAGTGACAGGTGACCATTGTTTGTTTTGCTTGTTGTTTCGCTTTTTACTGGATGTCTGAACATTCTTTGTGTCAACACTAATAATATTATAACAAATTTAGTCTCTTGTGAGTTTGAATTTGTAATCACAGTTAAAACTTTTTTTTACAGGTATCATGGCCGGATCCAACCGCTCTGGAGATCTGCGTGATGCCCAAAAGTCAATCCCCATCGGAACCATTGCAGCCATCACAACCACCTCCACTGTCTGTATCCTCATATGGCTTCAACCTTAGCAAAAAAAAAAAACTCTGAAAACACAGATCTTGAAAATAACACAGTTTTAACATCATTGAAAGAACTGTAATACATCAGTTCTATTTCAGACTGATGCTTTATTGCTGACAGGATTTTATACTACCATAACATTTTTTTATTTTTCTCAGCTGCATGAGAAAAAAATAATTTTGGCCGACAGGAAGTCTCGTAATTAAAGGTCAGGATTTTAAATTTGGAAAGGTCATAACTGTGATGATGCCCATCTCATTTTCAAAGGCAGCTAAAAGTTTTCATGCATCATTAACGTTATTGACATTCGACCTCATCTTTAAGTTTGCTTCCAAATCAGTTTAGTGCCACTTACTTTTTGTATTTCTATCCAAACTAGAAGGTCATGGAATACAAGACCAACTTGTTGTCTGATAATTTTGTTTCTTTACAGGCAGAATGGGTCTAAGCATCTGTATTGAATAACGTTCAGTGTCTCTCTGTATAATCAGCTTTTAGTCTACTCAGATTTGATTAGGACTTCTAATTAGGTTATCTAGCTGCCTATGCAAGTGCAACTTAATAAACCTGGGGGATATTTGTTACAATGTCACTAATGTCTTATATATCCACTAAACAATATTGATTATTGCTTTTTACTCGGAAATATACTTAACTTTTTATCGGCAAATTGAATGCATTTTGAGACTTAAGTCAATTTAATATCCATCGTCTGAGAAACATGCCAGCTGTCACTGTATGTTTTAATTTTCCTGATGCCTAACCTCCCAGACATGACCAGTGTGTTTCTGTTTGGTGCCTGCATTGAGGGGGTGGTCCTCAGGGATAAGTAAGTCCATCCTTTGTGTTTGAAAGCAAATTGGTTTATCATCACTTCAATAAATATGTTAACGTAATGCTGGTGTGTTGTAGGTTCGGAGAGGGCGTGCATGGGAACTTGGTCATTGGCACGTTGGCTTGGCCGTCGCCATGGGTGATCGTGATTGGCTCTTTCTTTTCCACTTGTGGGGCAGGGCTCCAGAGCCTGACGGGAGCTCCTCGTCTTCTGCAGGCCATCGCCAAGGATGGCATTGTGCCAGCCCTTAGGGTCAGTTTCTGTTCCTGCCACAGTCACAATGTAGTGACTATACTTGCAGGAAGAAGAGCAGAAGGTACCTCATGCAGGCATAACTGTAGAAGCTGTGTTAATGGGTTTTCTGTTTGTGTAGATCTTTGGCCATGGAAAGGCCAATGGAGAACCAACATGGTCCCTCCTACTGACAGCTTGTATCTGTGAGAGCGGCATCCTTATTGCCTCCCTGGATGCTGTGGCTCCTATCCTCTCCATGTAAGAACTGAAAATCAAATTAATTGCTACATTCAGAAACAGTAGGAGAGTTCAGAACAGTTGGTGCCTAAAACTAAATGCCAGATTTTTATCGGCTCAGAATTAATCTCTTCTTACCTTTGAAAACAAAGCCCTTCAACTACATTCAGTTTATTTGAATATGTCAGAGTTAATACTTAGATCTATGTTGCAAACTGACTTAACTTGTTTCCTGCAGGTTCTTCCTGATGTGCTACATGTTTGTGAATCTGGCCTGTGCCCTTCAGACGCTCCTGAGGACTCCAAACTGGAGGCCCCGCTTCAAGTTCTACCACTGGTTGGTTTTTTAGTAAAAACATCATCTTGTGTTTTTATGTTTCAAATCCAATCTCTGTTTTCCTATTTGTATCTAATTATATATATTGCTTTCTAGGGCTCTGTCCTTCCTTGGGATGAGCTTGTGTCTGACTCTAATGTTCCTCTGTTCCTGGTACTACGCCATCGTGGCCATGGGGATCGCCGGATCTATCTACAAGTACATTGAGTTCGCAGGGTGAGTGGAAAAGGAAATCAGATTATTTGAAATCAAGACTGCAACTTTTAAAAACAAAATAATTCTTAAATGTAGAATTGGAAAAGAGGGATGTATTCAGTCCACCTGACCATATGTTTTGCTTCAATGTAGGGTGTGTGTCTACCAGCTTCACACTTATGAAATATTTCCCACTTTTCACCCTGCTTAAGAAAAGTTTCAGAATATATCTTGTAAAATGAAAGAATATCATTTAAGAAATACTTTATAAGTCAAAAAGGTAAATTAAAGGTTGTAGCTCTTAATAGAGGGTTTTCTTCAATGAGTTGTTTGTGATGCTGACGGCATTAGGTCTGTTTTCTGTCCTTTCTAATGGAAAATATTGAGGGTTTTTTTTGCCGACCTCATACTTGTTCTGATTGTCTTTATGTGGGACCGGGTCGCAGGGGCTGCGGTCTCAGCAGAGACTCCCCAACTTCCCTCTCCCAGACACTTTGCTGGAGGAAGTCCTATTGTTATGAGCACAGCACCTACTCTATGTTCCCTGCATCTTCTTATGACTTCTATCAAACTTTACATTTGACTTCTATCAACTATCCTTATTCAGCCTCTTTGTTGTTCCTTCTGTTATGATGGTCAGATTCGCTTCTCCTGTTCGCAGCATGAGATTTAGATGTCTGATGCTCCTCCAGAGTTATCAAGAATTTTTTTTCCACTTCTAATTAATCCCCACCGTATCCATTCATGTGCTAGGCTTATTTACATCAAGTTTAGAGTTGTTCGGTCATATTCTATTTTCAGATGATCGATCAAACAGTGCTTCATGAGATGTAGGTTACAGACAGCAGCTACATTTACATGTGCAAAATTTCCCTGATCTGATCTGAACCTTGGTTAACTGGGAATTCAACATTTCTGTAACACCAAAGATCCAGTGGCAATCTGCCGAAACCACATCTTTCTTTCGAAATGAAATCTATTTCCAGTCGCACTGAATTGGATTAGAATCTTTAGTCTGAAACGTTTGCATTAAACATTTTTGATATGATCAAACCTTCAATCTCAGTATTGGATTATTGGATTTACTCTATAGATTTTCCTTCCACTTCAAATGTTTGTGCTACATTTAAAATTTCAGTTTTAACATGAAATAGTTCAGGATACAAGAATAGTTTTGCAAGGCGCTTAATGATGAGCATAAAACTGTGTTTCTAACAGAGACGCCATCTCAGCCGTCTTTGCCCTTTCAACCTTTCAATATGAATGTTAGGTAACAAAACTTTTGATGTTCTGACTGATAAACATTGGTTATGTCGCAGTGCGGAGAAAGAATGGGGTGATGGGATACGTGGTCTGTCTCTGAGCGCTGCACGGTACGCTCTAATGCGCCTTGAGGAAGGCCCACCACACACCAAGAACTGGAGGTATGACACACAGGAACATGCCTTGCCATGCTTTCTTTATCGTGTCCAGCCATTCTTGAGTCACAGCTGTCAAACCGAAAGTTTTGTGCATATCAAAATGTGAATCATTTATGACACTTTCCGATTCCAAGAAGGATTTCTCCTTTTTTTATTCTTCGTCTCATTCTCTCCTGTCAGACCTCAGCTGCTGGTGCTGGTCAGCACAGATGCAGAGCAGAACGTGGAACAGCCACGTCTGCTGTCTCTCACCAACCAGCTGAAGGCAGGGAAAGGTCTCACCATCGTCGGGACAGCTCTGGAAGGCACCTACCTGGCGAACTATGAACAGGCTCAACGCGCAGACCAGGCAAGGAGCATTTCACAGTCTTACCACAGCCTGCCACCTCTGATCAACGTGTTTATTCTAAGCGGCACAGAAAACATTCCAGTCTATCCATATGATACTTACAAATAATCAGTAAACCGCAAAGATTTGAAAGATATCAAATTTCTCTGCAGTCATAAAAAATTCTATATTAAATTATAATAAAGTTTATTATAATAAGTTTTTTGAATTCATATGATGCTCTAAGGGCCTGATCTTCAAAAGGTTGACGTGTATTAAAACAACATCAGGAATCACTAGCATGCAAAAAAAAAAAAAAATGATCTGCAATTTTTCTTGCACGTGTAAACCAGGTGGAACAGCCAACACAAACACCTTTTTTGCATGTTTGCACTCATAATCTTATGATATAAAAATAAAATAGTCACCACAAGCAGAGGTATTACTCAAATCATAAACCAATTGCAGGCAATATTTTTGCATTCCTAATCTTAAAGGTTCAGCCTTCTGGGGTCACTGTAGCCACAAAGGAGGCGTTGTTACAGTGACAGATGATGGCGAGAGAAAGAGAACCTCTGCGCATGTAAACATGTTTGGACTGTCAGGAATAAATATAGCAGAATATTATTACAAGGGAAAATTACATCAGTATGGCTGGCTCAACGTAATGCAGCTGGAACCAAATCTGTAAGAAATGAAAGCACAATGGAAAAAAAACATGTCTGAACTTTAATATTTTAACATGTTTATAAAAGACTGAACTGATTATTAAAAGCCAACAGAGAAAAGAACACCCAACAGTATGCCAGCCTAGTTTGCGTCTTCAGCAATCTTTCTAGTCATTCCTTTAGAACTCCACATAGAGCACAGCTATATTTTATTAGATTGTTATGGGCCTAACTTGGTTTGTAAAATTTTAGGTAAAGCGAATGTTGTGAAGAGTTGGTGGAGGTAAATCCTGCCGCTTAGAGCAGTGATTCCCAACCAGGGGTATGTGTACCCCTAGTGTTCTGCAAGTGCATTGCAAGGGGTGCATGAAAATATTTTACTTCTTAGGTAGTAAAATGAAATAAGGCTGGGATCTGTTCTACTTTGTGAGGATCCAATTGAAATATTAAACAAGCTTTTATCAAACGAAAAGTACGTTTTTCTTTTATGTTTGAGTTCACCTTCAGCTTTTACACACATCCAAACCAAGCCGAGGAACACACTGGATGTAGAGAACAGCCTAGTATCAGTTGTTTTTTCCACACCTGAGGTATAGCAGCTCATCAAAGCAGCTCAGGTGTTTTGATGAAAACAAAGTAAAACTAATTAAGTCAATCTGACTGTAATTTTTGTTCTGTATTTTTTTTTCTTCAGATTTATCAAGTGTAAATTTGATCATAAGGAAGTTACTCAGAAGAGCTCCCGTTTTATACAGGTTTACAGGTTTATAATAGGATTTTATTTTGTATTTATTTTAATTCCTTACTAACTTCCAGGCAACATGTTTAAAATGAAATGCTCAAGCTAAAAGATTAAGTAAAATATTTTTTTTACAAGCAGTTATTGAACATTTCACTTTTGGATAATCATCAATACTTCTGACTGAGAGGGGTAATCATGATAAGAAAAAATGATTTATTAATAATCACTTCCTCCATCTCCAAGGCCTATAAACTTTGAACTTTTCTTTAAAGGCCACTCTCAAACTGCCACTAATATACGCAAATTGCTCATTGAAATGGGGCCGACCAAACCTTGTTGATCACCCACAAAACAGTCACTTTTTGCACATGCAAATATGTTTTTTTAGCCAATGCAATTTAGCCTTTTGTTTTTGAATTTTTCAAGATCAGACTTGTAAAATGTAAACATAAAAATCAGTAATATTAATTAAAAGAATATATTATTTATATGTTTGGTTATTGTAGTGGGAAAAAGGTATTCAACTATTCAGCCCAGTAAAATAAACGGAGATCGATGGATTTCACTCAGTCTGCACTTTATTTTTATATCTTTGCAAAGAGAGAACAGTTCAACCCTGGTAATCAGCCCTGCTGTGCCTGGGCAGGGTTTATTCCCCCTTACTTACAATAATGGAACATTTTTAGAGTCTAACCAAATGACAGACACTTTGGTGGAACAGTAACATGTTATGAATAAACCTTGAAAAAGAATCTGGTTTGTTATGGGAAGAAGGTAGGTCTGGTCTATAAACACCCTCACACAGGGGAATCGTGTGGCAATGCAGGTGAAACAGGCTGAGTGAAAACTTTTATAGTGAGTAAATAGGATAAATTTATATATGAAAAAAGAGAAACTAAATTTTCTGACCACAGTTATCTAGCTACAGTCTGCTTATATGGGACTGCAGTCAGTAATATTCTGTAGAGGTTTATAATTGACAGGTTTTTTTTTTTTTTTTTTTATTTCCAGGCACTGCGCAAATTAATGGAGACTGAGAAGGTGAAGGGCTTCTGTCAGGTGACTGTATCCTCAAACCTCCGGGATGCTTCATCCCATCTGCTGCAGGCCAGCGGACTGGGAGGCCTGAAACACAACGCTGTGCTGGTCTCCTGGCCACGGAACTGGAAGCAAGGAGACGAGCACCAGAAATGGAGGAACTTTGTTGGTACGCCTTAAAGAAGTACAAAACGCTTAACTGGACTGATGATATTTCCCTGTAAGCTGGTGGAAACACACTAAAAGATGCTACTCTTCAAGTTAAAACAGCAAGGCTGAAGTTCCTCCAATTTAGAAACTGATTTAGGTAGTAAGAATACAGCTTCTGTTGAATCTGTACCCTGATTGAAATAAATACACAGTTTTAAATATGAAAAACTTTAATAGATAATTATTGATTATTTAGAACTAGTCATTATTTTTTGCTTCTTTCATAAGACTATATAGTTTAAATTACTGCTACACTTTTACAGGATCCTTTGGGATAAACAAAGTATTTTTTAAATTGAAATGATCTGGATTGAGTTTAGTTGTGTTTAATTGATTTTAATTGAACTGAATAGAATTCACCTGAAACAAACTTCCTAGAAAAGAAAGACATCTACAATCACCTGATACATTATCAAGCTGGGTCTTACCCTCTTTTGAACTCTTAAATTCCTGTGGTGCAGTTTCAGCCGGGTTTAAAAATGATTCCGCTGTGGTTTGGTCCATATGGACATAATGCTATTATGCAGTTACTGCAGATTTGTCTGCCGCACATCTATAATGCAATTCTCTCACATCCCAAAGGTGCTGTATAAGACGGATAGGTGGTGACTGTAGAGCGCATTAGGGTACAGTCAGGCTATTGTTATGTTCATGGCACCAGTGGGAGATTGTCGGGATTTATTTGACAGGGAAACATTTTTCCAATCTGTTATTTTTGAAGGTTAGTGAGTCTGTTTAAGGTGTGGTAAGGTGGGTGTGGTTCTTAACTGACCATAGTTACACTTGCCATGGTCCTCTGCTTCAAATTCAATGCTTTTCAAAAAGTTGAACCACAGTAGTCTGCCTTTTATTCTCTGACTTCTAGAACTATCATTTTTATCCACCTCTTTCCTGGATATATTCTGTATTTCTGACCATAATCTGTAAACCTCACAGATGGTTGTCAGTAAAAACGAAAGCAATCTCTAACATTCTTGGACCGGACAATCTAGCATAAAGAGTCATCCAACATTCATTCATTCTCTTCAAACACATTTTTCCTTATTTTGTTACTTAGTTTGAATTCTGTCACCTTTTTTTTATTTTGTCATACTTAGCTGGTTAAATTAATTGAATTTTATAAAAAGGCATAAAAAATCAAAATACACACCTCTTTTGTCAGTTAGGATTACCAAAATTATATAAAAAAGCGGTATTTTTTTAGGCCATTTCCACTCGACAGCTCACCGGTCCATCAAAGGGAAACACAGAGAAAAACACACATGCAGGTACACTGATTTAGAGGAAACAATCACCATAGGTTTGGATTTTTGATGTGGCTTTAAAACTGATTTTTTTAAATGCTCATGGGTCATCACCATTTAGAAATTCATTTATTTCAAAGCTATTCTTTTATGATTTCTAAATATTTTTCTCTAATTCTCTTTCTTCATAAATCCATTTATCTTATGAAGCAGTTCAGCAATCAGGTGTTAAAAACACCCCATACTTTATGATTAAAATAGTGTTCTGTGACTTGCATGCTTCTCCCTATTTCCCAAAAATGTCCTTAAAGTCATTACTCCTAAGCACTACAATTTTAGTCTCATCAGACCACAAGACATGCCTCAGTGAAGGACTCATTGTCCTTTTAAATAATGAGGCTTTATTTAAAAGCTTTCGTCAGCATCTTCACAAGTTCTTTACTTTAGTTCGGGGGACACGTATTTTACACAGAAAAACAGTCATCGCTGGGACACAGGGCCATTTATCTTTACTAAACAATATGATAGGTGAACATCCTCAGGCCATACTTGGCTTATTTCTGCAAACACAACAAAATCAATGTGTTTGCAGTTTTATCTTAAATGCATCCACAGGTGTGACTCCATCTAACCCACACACCAAAAACTGGTTGAAAAGACATTGTAAAGACTACATGATTTATGTCCAAATGACGTCTATGTTGGGTTGAAATGTAAAAGGTGAAAAGCTGTAATTTTCAGATCGCTGACAAGACATTGATAACTGGGTTTGCAGCGTCTTTTTATTATTGAACTAAATTGGGACAAAATCAGACGAAGCAAACAAAGCCCAGTTTTCAACAATGATTTTTTTGACTAAATCAAGACTGACCGAACAGATTTAGACTGAAAACCACTGTCTAAACTTTAGACTCTAAAGGACGTGTGGTGTTTGGGGGGAACTCAAAAATTGATAACATGCCCCTACTAACAGAGACTTTTAAAGTCATAAGATTATCTGTAGGCTTCCCAAAATGATTTCGAAGGTATAGTAATGAAAATTATTTAAAATTCTGACTTTAAAATAATTTAATACAAAAACAATCTTTGAAAAAACCCTCTCTCGTATTTTCTATAATTTACACAATGTAATTATGTTTTATAATCCTAACCAGCTTAGGTAATATTTGGCCTGATTTAATGTCAGGTAGTGGGAAAAAATGAGTAACACTTATTTGAATTAAATTTATGCAAATATCTGTTTTCTACGACGGAGTATTAGGGCCAGGCTACAGATTGTTGTTACGAGAATAAAGTTGTAACAAGATACAAGTTATATTTTATGACAACTCTTACAAGAACCACTGTATTCCGTAAAATGAGGAATGTCGAGCATCATGTGAAGTTATACTTTGGTTCTGGTTTGACAAATAAGGAAATCTTTTAGCACCAGCATTGAATTGGGCGGTTTGTCAAAGTGGATTCAGGTTGTTGTTTGGTGGAGCTGGTCGGCTGTCATCTGCTGGTCGGAACTTGAAGTTTTCTTTCTGAAATGGGTTTTTGTAGGATGACTTCATTCTCGTAATATGAGGACAATATTCTCGTAAGGTTATGAATTTATTCTCGTAATATAACGACTTCATTCTCGTAATGTTATGACTTTATTCTCAAAATTGAAAAAATCTCTAGCCTGGCCCTAATACTCCATTGTAGTTTTTCTGTAAAGCAGAAATACATTTAAATGAGACAAGGAAACTAGAGAAAAACAACTCATGCATTTCCCTTGTTTCCCTTTTTTATAGAGCTGGTCAGAGAGACTACCATTGCCCAGCTCGCTCTACTGGTACCAAAGAACATTGCAGCCTTTCCATCCAATGGTGAACGCTTCACAGAGGGTCACATTGACGTATGGTGGATCGTCCACGATGGAGGCATGTTGATGCTGCTGCCCTTCCTTCTCCGTCAACATAAGGTACTGGATGATATTACCACCTAGGTAAAGATAAAACAAAAAAGCTATTTGAGAATTCTGGCAAATTCCAAGTTCCTACAAATTGTATAAAGATTTTCAGGATCTCTAATCTGCATTTATAACCAAACAAAATGTAGCATTAGCATGTATGTTTTACTGTAGAAATCAAAAGTTTTTTGATGCTCTAAAATGGAAAACCATGTTGTGTGATCTTTAGGTCTGGAGGAAGTGCAAGATGCGCATCTTTACCGTAGCCCAGATGGATGACAACAGCATTCAGATGAAAAAGGACCTGACTACATTCTTGTATCACCTCCGCATTGATGCTATGGTAGAAGTCGTTGAAATGGTGAGTTTTCTTAAAGTTGGTACCGCACAGATGTGGAAGTAAAACTACATGCATCGAAGAACCTTCAGAAGCACTTTAATGTCAGAACCGCTCAGCCAGGAAAATAATCAGGCAATGCTTCAGGCTCGGCCAGTTGTCTCAGTAAACATAGCTGTTTTTCCTGAAAAAAAAACATATGCTTTTTATTATTGGCCAAATGCATTTTAATTGCACAGCATGTTTTAGACATTCCCTGATACCATTAAATATTTACATTTTAGGAAGAACCAACACGATTCCACTCCCTAACTCTTCACTTCTACTTTTCTCCAAGAATGTCTACAAACATCGGGCAATACCTGTTTCTAAAATGTAAAAAAATAGATAAATAAAACTCAGTAAGAGTGAAAATATATATGTATATTTTTCCCTTAGCATGACAGCGATATTTCAGCGTACACATACGAGAAGACTCTTGTGATGGAACAACGTTCGCAGATGCTAAAACAGATCAACCTTACCAAGACAGAGCGGGAGAGGGAGGTAAGCAAGTTTGTTTGATCAAAGTTCTGTTTTTAGAAGCCCACAGAGATGCACACATTAACTTGACAAGACTTGACAAGCCGACCCGGCTTTGCTTGACTTGATTTGAATTAACATGACACACAGCACCCTCCGGACAGAAGCAGATCTTGTGTTAAATCGGAGCAGTGGGTCACCATATTTATCCTCTCTATCAGGGAGTTGACAACAGCCACAACAACAAGTGCTCTGATGTTGTGTTTGACAGCATGACAATGTTTTGACAGAGGTGGGAAAATAAAATCTTCAGGTCTCAGATGTACTCTTTAAAATTACGCCTGATATACATTTACTGGGAAAATAAGGTTTCAGAGATTGTCAATATAGGACTAGTAAAGACTTGGTACACCTTTTCTGCTTCAAAAGAATTTGGAGGAGAAACTAAACCAGGGACAAAGTTGTTGGTAATCCAAAAACAAAAAGGAAAAACAAGGAAACAATGGTCATAGAAATAACTTGAATCTGACCAAAAACACAATTAATACAAATTATATTAAGATGAATAAAGGAAAATCAGAAATTACTTTTCAACAATGCTTTAACAGAATGATGTTAATAAATAAACTCATAAAAAAAGCCTAAAAAAATTATGATACCACTAAAAAAGACTGAAAATAATGTGACTGAAGTGACATGTTAAATCAAGGCATGTCCATTAATTAGCATCACAGTTCTAATTCCACAATTCAACAATGGTTTAACCAGTCAGTGGGCTTATATATAGGGTTACATGTTACTGTGCTGAAACTGAAACCATCAGTTCTCCTCCAGACTTCATTCCCATCATAGGGTGAGCGAGAAGGTGAGTGTGATGGATCCTCCCTGCGTTCACTACCATGCATTATGCATAAGTTAGGCTGTCGTTGGACATAAGTTCTGGGCTCGTTAGGAATATGCTATGTATACGCCCAAAATTGAAAAAATACATAGAACATTCAGCGTATGCCAGCATTTTAGGAGATTCTGGGATGTCGGGCATACGCTGACTATATCGGCAAGGTGTGACAGGGCCCTAAAAAGGTTAAAGGGGTTTAAATGCTTTCTTTTTATTTTAACCAACGAGATTGTTTCGATAAATGAGAAGAGTATTGATACGTTTGAGCATAATATAAAGTAAAATGCAAGGAGATTCCAACCTCATACCAGCTAGGATAGTCAGGCGCACTGATGAAGTAGGGATCCTTTGATTGGCCCCATTTACCTTATAGTCATTGACTATGAACTCCTCTGTTTACCAATTTTAAAGCCAAATGTGAGGTTTTATGCTCACCAGCTGATTCCAAAAACAGCTAATCTAAAAACAAAGTGTCTGTAAACAGAATAAATCCAGACGCTACCATGTGGGGACTCATATAACCAAATGCCTGCAGATCTAAATGAATTCAAAAATGTAGTAGATTGCATCGGTCCACAAAAGGTCTCTACAGCAATAAACAACTAATAAGGTCATCCAGAAACAAGCTGTTAGATATTATACATGTAATGAAACGCAGTTGTGTGGTGCACCTCATTAGTGTAATAATGAAAACAAAGGAAAAGGGCATCTCCATTTATCACACCTCTTTTCTGTCTTTTATTTGTTTCTTCACAGATCCAGAGCATCACTGACTCGTCCCGTGGATCCATCCGCCGTAAGAACCCGGCCGCTGTGACCACCCAGCTGAGCGTGACCGAGGAACCGCCCGCCACCAGCAAAGAGGAGAAGCCTGAAGAGGAGGTGGGATCTGTTTTAACCAGGGAGCTTGTCTGACTTGGTTTTAGAGTCACATTCACCTGTGTGGTCACAGAAACTCAAGTGGGAAAACCACTAATCCTTTGTACAACATCATGAATAGAATAGTAAAAAGGAAACACAGATAAAAGCATTTGTTTATTATCAATAATGTAAAGTTGCAGGTACTATAGACTTAATGCCAGGAGCATGATTAAGCAAACAAGAATAACCTGACATTTTGGTTCATTACATCAGTGGAAATGCTTTGTTTTCTTTTAATCTGATCTAATATTTATCCCAGACACCCTTTTTTATTTTATAAAGAGCCTGCATGCTCCAACAAACAGGTAATGAACTGAATAACAATAAACAAACCTTTTTAATCCTCTTTCTCCTTCCTATTCTATCCTTCCTAACACTGTTGCTTTCTGTAACTTTACCTGCATTCCAACATTTCCACTTCTACCATGGCTCTGTCGAATTTCCATATTTTAACGTGTACATAAATCCACATCCCTCCTCTTTTTCCTCCCGTCTTATAGTCAAAGTCTTCCCCTGTGTCCCCCCCTCCTCAGGTCCAGCTCATCCATGACAACACCACCCCAGCCAGCCCTGCCACCCCGTCCACCACACTGACGCCTGCCGAGGAGGCACAGAGTCCCGGGGAGCAGATCCAGAGGACCTGGACGGAGAAGTGTGACAGAGAGGCAGCCAAGCCTCGTGGAGGGACCACACAAGAGGACATCAAAGACATCTTCAACATGAAGCCGTGAGTGCTCTGCAATGCTCAACCAACTATTAGTGTCAGCGAACCCTTTCATGTAGTTTTATTTAGAAAGCATTCCCAAAGAGTTCTCCTTGGACACCTGTTGAGTTTGTTTTTGAGTGCAATCAACTTTTTTATTTCTCTTCTCGTGATGCTGCAGAGAGTGGGAGAACCTGTAAGTACTGAAGTCCACGTGATCCTCATTTCATCAACCCACCTCTCATACTGATCAAGTCAGGCAAATGATAAGATGAGGATGTTATGGAAATAAGTGTGAATGTGCATTTGTCATCACCTCTGAGCATCCCATGATTCATTTTCAGTTTGGTTTCCTCTCACACTATGTCTCCTCTTAGGAACCAGTCTAACTTGAGGCGTATGCACACAGCGCTCCGGCTGAATGAAGTCATTCTTAAGAAGTCCTCAGAGGCCAAACTAGTCCTCCTGAACATGCCAGGGCCACCCAAGAACCGGACAGGTGACGAGAACTGTATCCTTTATTGGGCAGAACCAAAGGAGACTCCAACACGGGTCTCTAAAGTGAAACCTGAGACCATTTCATCGCCCCTGATTATAACACAAGAAGTGGAGCCAATTTGGGTACTTTAATAATTAGATCAAAAAGAATTACTGGTGTTTTAACAAACCTTGAAAACCTATATTAACCTTTTTTTATTCAGATTGATATGGGGCGACCAACAACCAGTTACTTTTACTCCACAGATTCAGGTGGATTCAGTAATAGAACATCTAGGCTACACTAGCAGGAAACAGTCAACTTCAGATACTGGCCATTTCTCAATATGTGTACTTATGCATTCTCATGTGCTTGTATGCTCGTGAAAGATCATCAGCCTCAGCCCCAGCACTGCTCCAACTCACAAGAACACAAGACCGAGAAGGGACAAAGTCCCCGGATGTTGTTTTTGCCCCTCCCTCTTTACTGAGTATGCGTCAGAGCAGACTTTTCTGTCTTTAAGATTCACAGCCGTCCCCCAGCATGCACCGCAGCACCAGCAGCTTCCAGTGAAGTGCTAACAGAGCTCAAAGTAGTGAGTTAAAATTAATCTTTCCTGTTTTTGTTGTTCTATATAAGTACGCTTTAAAGTCATTTGAAGCGAGAGCATCATACTTTTAAGCTTCAATATATGACCCATTTACTGATTTAGTGCGTAAGTTTAAAAAAAGGTTCTGATATTGAAAGGACTTTGTATCACGACTCAGAACAGAGGACCCAGTATTCAAGGCAAGACTGGCGGTGGGATTATTAAAGGCACACTATGCAACATTTTTCAGTTAATTAATGTGTTCCATAACGTTATGGATGATTAAATGATTCATTTCAGGTTGAACAAAGGTATTCTCGGCCGCCCTGGTGGTCTGTGGGGGAAATACTGCACTTGCAACTGCAGGAGCACCGACCCGCACCCACAGGCTCAGAAGTCTCACGAGAGTCAGTCTTGCTTTACGGCGAGAACTGCTACACCCCCCAGTTAAAAGCATTCTCGTTGCTAGCACAGTGGTGATCTTTGCGCAGTTATGCTACGTTCACATCGGACGCAGCAAAATCGCGTCTGCTGCTTCATTTTTGCTGCTTGTACCTGTTAGTTCTGACGCGCGGCTGAAGCAGCTTTGCTGCTCCGGCTGCGCGGTGCAAAAGTATGTCTGACGCGCGTTGGGCGGAGCTACTCTATCCTTTCTCTGCCTTGCAGCTATATTTGCTGTGATCAGTGGGAATAAAGTAGTTTTAATATGTGTTTAAATGAGAAAATACACCTGAAAACATAATCGGTGCCGTCAGTTCATTCAGATTATTATCCTGCCTTCAATATTTTTTCTGTCGGAGCCGCTCAGACCCCCACATACCAGCGGTGCGCCGACAGTAGGGATCCCTTCATCAGCAGCCTCTGGCCGGGTCGCCTCCTCGCGGTTCACCGCGGCAGCTGGTAGGTGTTTTTCATCTAAATAATCCAAACTGCATATTCTGCCGGCAGATTTCTGCATTTTAAGTTAATTTAGGCATCAATAAACTGTTTAAGAGGAGTGATCATCAGCGCTGTGTCTCTCTCCATGCGTTAAACGCGCCCGACGCGCTGCTTCAGCTGCTCAGACGCGCTGCGCCTGCTGCTCAAAACGCGCCGCGGGACCTTTTGCTGCGCCTTGACGCGCGTCAACCATTGACTTTGCATGTAAACTCGCTGCTTCTGTCACGCCAGCTGCGGTGTGAACGCAGCATTAGTCATTCGTTGCGTTCGCCTGTCTGCTAAGCTCAAAACAACCGCGCCTGGCTTGACGGAGAAACCAGGAGAACAGCTGTGCATATTTATGACAGAGCACTTTTACTTTCGCCCTCTGGGGGGAGCCTCGCTGGAAAATCAACACCGGTTGCATAGTGTACCTTTAAAAAAGTGTTTATTATAAATCAACAGATCTCCAGTAGCAGCAGCTAGGGTGTCTAAGGCAGGTGACCACGATAAGCTGATGGAGGATGATTATGAATGTGTTAGTCACTAACCTAGATTAACAGTTTAGTCCGTGCCCAGAGAACAAGGTAGGATCCAGCCGCTGGGCTGCCAACAAGATGCGGCGGGCACCGCCCTGAGTGTCCCAGATGCTGCAGCTCCGGAAAACTAGTAATAGTCCAAAGACAGGTCAGGCAAACCGATCAGAACAAGAACAGCCAGGTTTAGAGATCCAGGAGTCTGAAGCCAGGTCAGACAAAAAAAAAAAAAATCAGAGCAGGAACAGGCAGGCTCAGTGGTTGAGAGGCAGACAAGGAAATCAGAAACACTAAGGTAACGCTGGCCCACTCTCTCCACCGGCTCCAGAGTATTAATCTAGCCTGATGACTGTTAGTAGGCAGCTTAAATAGAGACAGGAGCTTCTAGTTTGTTGAGACAGCTTCTATTTGAATGATTTCTTTATTCTACCGCTGTGGCAGAAGTCAGATCTGAATGTTACTGAAATTGATCTGTTTGGGTAAGTTATAGTCATTCATAAATTAACAAAAGGAAGCCATTTGATAATGGAGAATATAATTTAAATAAAACACTTTTATTCTTTACTGTCATCATTGTTATATCTGTCATCATATTAAACATGGGTTGGGACTACAGTATGAACATTTTTAGAACTCTTATCGAGCGGAGCCCCTTTATCTCTTGTTAGTGTACTTTAGACCATGACAAAAATCCATCCTATTTCTCTTTATACAGAATGCATGTTTTTTCTAACAGTTTCTCTGGGCCAATAAGGTCAAGTTTTCAAACAAATTTACATGTTAAAATTTAGATGTTGAAACATTAATCCGCAAAAGATTTGGAATAAGATACAATTACATAAAGCCACTTCTGGAAAAGACCATTTCTCTCTAGTTACATCTTTAACTGTGCCCTAACAGACATGGAGTTCCTTGAGGTCCTTACCGAAGGTCTAAACAGGGTCCTTCTGGTCCGTGGAGGCGGCCGTGAGGTCATCACCATCTATTCCTGAAAGAGCAGCCCCCTCCCCTGCTCTATAATCCCCTCCCTCTGTCCCATCTCTGCCGTACTCTCACCTCTTCATCAGTACGGCTTCATTATGAGGTTCTGTTTGTTTCTGTGCTGTAGTGCTCTCACCACCAACAAATAGCCCCGCTCAGCTTCAGCGCCTCTCCCTCTGCCCTATCCACATCAGACAAGTGAATCCAGAACCTTCCTAATGCAAACTCAATAGAAAAATTTAACCTTTCTCGACTGGTTGAAATCCTGTTATAATCCACCGTAACTCAGTCGGGATGAGGTGTTGGTGAGTGTGGGTTCTTCGCTGAAGTGTGAAAACCGCTGCATGTATAAGTCTTATTGTTTCAATCTCTGTGTTTTTCTATTCTTTTTGGTTTTTGTAAACACAAGAGTGGGACAGGCATGGCCTCTGAACGGCACAAACGTTATCTGGCCAAAATGGGCCTGACTGTAGGATTAGATCTCTTTAGTTCCCTTGTGGAGGATGTACTTTCCCCGCAGGCTGTTGTCTCGGGTGTGAGTTTTCATGATGGACTCTGCAGTCACAGTGAGGACCGCCGGCTGGAGGACAAAGGAGAGTACGGCTGGGAAGGATGAACTATGAAACTCACCTTAACCCAAGAGACTGAAAAGTGGGTCTACTCTGCAGTCTTATCTTTAACCTGCTCACTCTTTGGCATGACATACTCAACCACTGTGTATTTTGTTACTGTAGTCACTCTGCCCCCCCCCCCCCCCCCCCTTCTTCCTTCTTATTTCTAAGTGGCTCTTTATCTCTTAGGCCACTGTTTGTGCCAAAAACAACAACAAATACTAAATCCAAGGCTAGTTTGTTGAGATTGACACGTAATTAAACTGTGAATAGTCTCCTAGCAGAAGGCTGGGGTGCCAGCAAAGTGGGGAGATGGTTACAAACCCCCCCTCCACCACCACCACCCAGAGGAGGAGGTTATTGTCTCCAGCACCTCTCGGCCCCGTGTGTGATCCACTGTAAATAATGTACAAGCTCTGATGCGTTTAGTATGAGTGTAGTATTTTTGTGACTAACTGAAAAGCTTCTAAGTGGAGAGAAAAGCCTCCTTCACTTAGAAAGGTCGCTGAAAAATGCAGTTTTAAAAATATATATATATATATTTATTTATTTTATTGTATCTATTTATCGGCTCCCATCATTATGGTAAAAGTTATGGCAAACGAAAGCACCTGCACTCTTCACCACTGTGCGACAAGCGAGATTTTGATGCTTTAAAAAAAAAAAAATCACTAAATGTTATTTTTTCATCTAAAGAAAATATTTGTCACTTTGATTGTCAGAGATATATCATCCGTTTTGCCAAATTTTCATACATTAATGTGCCAAATTAAAGTATCTTTCAGCGAGATAGTGAAGATAAATATATCTAATTCCACTAAATCGGAACAAAGTTTGCTAAAAACAAGTGAAAACACAATAATAAAGATGCTATGATTTGAAAGTGGCCCTATAGACGATTAAAGAATGAATGTTCAGCCATAGAAAATGAAACAAAACAGAAACATCCACTCAATTCAAGCTAGAAATGGTGGACATCTATTGGATAGTTCTCCATAGGACCTGATTAAAATAAAAACGGGAGGACAATGGTTTCTGTAACTTTAAAATTCACTTTGTCCACAAGTATGAACTCTATGCAGTAGATCTTCCAGTCAGATTTTATATCCCTAAAATTAGTGAAGATTTGAGCCACTTTAGCCACCACTGAATGACTCGAGAGAAAATTAGAAAAAGTGCATTTTGGCAGGAATGTGCAATATAGTCGCGAATCTGGACTCACGTGATCATGTTATTTATTTTTTTACACGATATTTTGTATATGTAGATGTCGTATGTCTCGTACAATCCAGAATCATCTCACTCTGACCAAGGACTTCTGTCACTTTACTTTTATTATTCCCGTTTCTTTTCTTAAAAGAAAATATTTTTGGTCATTTGCACTTGTAGAAGTATAAATATAAATTCGTATGTATACATAGTATAAATATATATATATGAATATATATAAATAAATATATATATAGTATAGGGGAGCAAAACAAATTAGATTATAGAACTATTTAAAAAATGTTATTTAACGTTTTTAGTGTTGCTTGAATGTCTGATCATATGTTGTGAATGCTGCTAGTATCTATAGATTTATTTGTACTGTAAATAGAGATGAAACAACTCTAAAGACGACGTGAAAAAGGGTATAGACATACATATCAGTGCTGCTGGTGGTTATCGTACAACACAAGGCCGTACCTGTATACTTTTGGCCTGTGACCTCTGGACAGGGTTCTGTTTTAATAGAAATACTATGATGAATATCTCGATGCAATATTACATAAGTGAGAGGAAACCACCCACCTATTTTTCCTCCCCTTTTCAGTACTGTTTATGATTATTATACTTTAGCCCTCAAATAAGTGATGCAACTTAAGGTGAAAATAGATTTCTGTGCATTTAAACAAAACTGGAGTTTTGATGTTTAAAAAAAAAAAGGTATTTCTGATGTATTTGATACATTTTAAACTTTAGACATGCGATTTATGAAAAGAAAAAAAGTCACTCTGCTTCTATTGTTCAACGACCGAGTGCCAAGTCATTAGGGATTTCTTTTAACACGCTCGTCACTGACAAAGAGGGGGTGGCTCGCTGGAGTTTGAGTTATTTTCAGGTTGTCTACAGCGTCGCCTGCATCATCTGAGCCTTTTAAATTTATTCAAAAAGATATCTGAAGTTTATTGGAAAAGTTTACTGGAAAATTTATTTATTGAATTATAAATGTTTTATAATTGCTGTTTGCATGGTACTATGTGGCAATATTTGTTTCAGTGGTTTTCTATGGTGATTACTTACATGTTCAAGGTGAAGCACTTGGAGAGAAGGCGGCCCGACGTTCTTAGAAAGTTACAGTATTTTTGAGAACCCAGTTTTAACAAAGGTTGGCTAAGCCTTGAAAAAAAAGTGTTTGCAAAAAAAAAAACATACGGATGAAAAAGTATGAGTTCACTTTTCTTGTTATATTTCAATCTCTCTCAAGTAGTTTTACGTAACATATGAGATCATGTTTGCTAATAGACGGGCCTTAGAAGGGGTCATTTCACTTTTGTACATATATAACTTAAATCTGAGACACTGTAACATACTATTGTTGTCTTTTCTTGTACACTGTTCGATCACTGTGGACAAAGTCTGAGTTTTGTAAGATCATGAGCAATGTTTTCATTTTTCTTTCCTATTTGTTTGCTTGCTTTGCATCATTTCCAGGAGGTGTCAGCCATCACTTATCATTACAGCTTTTATCAGCAAGTATTTTGGGTATCCACCCTGAATTTGTTTGAGACACTGAGGTTAGTTCACTATTTGTGAACCATTTAAAATCTGCAGCATTAAAAAGCTTTGCAGACATTAGGGGGACCTCTGGTGGCAATAGCGTGCACTACAGGCTGATAGCTTCTGCTGCATCATTTATTCCCATCAGCATTTTGTCTGCCATTTTCGCATGCACACATTTTATTCAGATTTCATTTTTTTGTTTAAAGCAGCTGTATAATTTATTGTACTTGTCACTTAATCTGTGAGCTGAATCCACCCTCCCAGAGTCCCCTTCCCCCTCTTTTATCATATCTACCCAAACCTTTGTTATCCGCCATCACAGCCACCAAATCCACCCCAGCGTTGTATTTTAAATGTGACTGCAGTATAATTCTGAAAAATTATCAAAGAATATAAAACTTGCGCTTCCAATTCTGGTACTGGCTCTGCTTGGACTTCGCTGACTGAAAATAAACCCAGCATGACTCTACCCATCAACTGATCCACAGCTTTAGATCAGATCCATCACCTGCACAACTGTAGCATGAATAAAAAAAAAAAACACCTGCTGGTGATCATTACCCAGTCTCCATTCTTAAATGGATATTAAGGGCTCTGAAACACATCTGTTACCAGGCAGAATAGGAAGTTGTCATTTAGGGCGACACAAACCCATGACCATTACAGAGAAGCGACTAACAGTTGCATCCACCAGTGGTGTCAGACAAACACGTCTGATGCAGTAAAGAAAAACAATATCTGCTCTCATTTAACGTAATCTAAGTCAGACAAGAACAAAAAAACTAACTCCAGCTGATGTCCAAGCAGAGCCATAATCCAGTTATGTTGCGTTACTCAGTGCATGCATGCAACTACCCTGAACAAAGTGTGCTGAAAATATATTGGATGTTTGTGATATACAAGTATTCTGTTGGTGTCAGTCAAAAACGTTTATTTCTAGTATATTTTTTCTCTTTCATTTGGACTGGCCTATTGTTGTATCCAATATGGGTATTATAATCTATTTTTAAAATCATAGATTTATCCACAGGGTTCTGTTGTGTCAGTTATTGAAAAATAAAAAAAAACACTGAAGTTTTTCCTCAGCTAGTATGAAAACATGCTTTCCAGTGAATTAGATCGAGACAAGAGAAGAGGTGTTTACCGACCTCTGGATAATGTGTAGCAACAGTTATTCAGCTATGAATGTGCAAAAACAAGATCTGTTTTAATACAAGCTGCTTGAGAGGCAGTTTCTGCTGTGTCCATTGCAGTTCAGATACTTTTCTAATGTTCTCCAAATCTTTAAAGGATACGTTTGACTTTTTCGGGAGAGTGTTCCTATGACTGTCACAGGAAATGGGAACAGGAGCCCGAGCAAGAGGACATCCAACCATGAAAGTTGGAACAGTCCTCTTAACTCCCAGCCTGTTTCCATTATCTATGCAAGTCGTCTTGATTCGGACTAGAATATCATGACTCGCATATCCCAGAAAATCATTCCTCGAATACCAAAAAATGAAGGATTTGGCAACAGAGGAAACCTTTCACTATCCAAATTTGACTGATTTTAATTCACTGGGCCTGCAGGGGATGTTTTGTATGGATGCTTGGGAAATTAAAATGGATGTAAATGAATTTAATCGGCACACAAATCAGTGTTTGTTTCACAGATGGAAAACTTCCAACTGTCCATGACTTTTCCTTAACACTGTACCCAGTCTAACGGTAACGCTGTAGTGTGTTCCTTTCGGTTCTGTGGGGGTGTGTATGTGTATGTACACGTGCACTTGTAACTGCTGAGGGTGGGGTGGTTATGGGCATGGGTGGGAAGGGACTATGTGTAAATAAAATCAGATAGATTTAGTGTTGAGGTGTTTATTTTTTGTGTCAGTGTAAGTTAAATATTCTAAACTACAAAAAAATGTATTCTCTATTGTGACTCCTAGTACATGAAAAAAGAAAAAGCAGTTTTATCCATATTTCCAATGCTTATCTCTCTAGCTTCTGGCAATACCTGTTCCATTTTATAGATTTGTCAGCACAAAATGCAATAAACCGATATCATTTTACTACAGAATGTGACTCAAGTTTTTAATCTTGTTGTTTTGACACTGAAAACAAAAGTACACATTAATCAGCACAATCCAAAACTATAAAATATCCTCAGGTCAGGGCAGAAAACCATGTCAACCACAAACAGAAACGTATTTCTATAACTTGTTTTTCAGCCACACGCAGTAAAAGTTTCAGTAAAATATTTCAGGCAAACTGAAGAGTATTTGATCTAACGTAAGCATCCAAATTTAACAACACAAAATCAAGGACGAATATAAAACCTTTACAAAACATCCTCTGGGATTACCAACACATCACAA